GATTCAAAGAAACCTTATATCCAAATCACACAAAATTCACAAGATTTTCAACACTATTGACATTGTTCAATATGAAGGTAAGAAATTGGTGGAATGATAAAAGCTTCACATAATTCTTAGAGTTGTTGAAATAAATACTTCTAGAAGGTAACACGTTGCCAAGTTGTAACTACAAGGAAAAACATGTATTTTGTCCCATTGGTTTGGAGTATAAGAAGATACATGCAAACCCAAATGATTGTATGTTATATCAAGGTGAGTTTGAAGGGTTGTATCAGTGTCCAAGGTGTGGGGTGTCACAATATAAAAGAAAATATGGTGATTTTGATTGTGTTGTGAGCACTAAGGGTCCTCCGACAAAGTTTTATGGTCTTTGCCAATTTTTCTAAGATTGAAGTGTTTGTTTGTTAATGTAGATAATGCAAAGATGATGAGATGGTAGAAAGATGAGAGGAAGTGTGATGGACAACTCAAGCATCAGACATATTACTTACACTAAAAAATGTAGCATTTAGTGACATATAAAAAGTGTTATTATAGGTATAATATATGTAAATATATATCTATTTGACATATAGTCATACACAATTTAAGTGTTGATTTTGAATGTAATTTAACAGCATATTTTATATATTACTATAGCTTATACCAACACATTTTAACAATATACCAACATAAATTATATTTAGTGTGTGGGTAAAAGTACTTTTTAGTAAAACGTATTGTGCCACTATAGGACATGTGTTACTATATGACAATTTTCTTGTAGTGTTGTAATGAAAAATAATTGATTTCATGTTTCTTAATTTTGGCAACAAGTCGAGAAATATTGGGCTTGGAGTAGCTACTAATGGAATTAATTAATTTGGTAACTTAAGTTCTAAGCATAGTTCATAATTGTTTTGTTGGTTATTTAGAACTTACTTGCTTGGTTATGCATGAAGTGCAAATACATGTTATCTATGATGATTTTTGATCCAAGGCAACAAGGAAATGACATTGATGTCTATCTAAATCCATTAGTTGAAGACTTAAAGATGTGTTAGGAGGAGGGAATTGATGTGTTTGATGAGTATTCAGGTGAGTCTTTAAAGGTGCATACCATATTGTCCTACACAATCACTTTTTAGCATATGGAAACTTGTGTGGGTATATTGTTAATGGGCAAAAAGCTTGCCTTATATGTGAAGAGGCTCTTGTTACCATCAACTATATAATTGGAATAAGATAGTTTACCTTAGTCATCAAATACTTCTTAAATCTAACCATCCACGTTGAAGGTTAAGAAAGTTTTTAATGGATGTTAGGAATATGACATTGTTCCTATTAGTGAGCAAATTTATGAACGAATGAACTTAAATATTGTGAAACTTGAAAAAATTGAAAAATAACCCAAAGAGAGAAACATATGGAATAAGAGGTTGTTATTATTTGATTTACCGTACTGGAAAATAATTGATGTTATTATTAGACATTGAATTGATGTCATGCATGTTGAGAAAAATATATGTAACAGTGTAATTAGCATGCTTCTCAAAATTCAAGGCAAGACAAAGATGGTCTCAATTATCATCTAGATTTACAACTCATGGGCATACAAGATCAATTGAATCTACAATCTAAGGAAAAATAGACATATTTGCCTCCAACATAGCACATATTGTCAAGAAAGAAAAAAAACAGGTTTCTATGAGTGCTTGTGTGGTGTCAAAGTACTATACAATGACCCTTTCAATGTAAAAAGTCAATGAATTATGTGTGAGTAGGAATTCTAACGTATATGGATTTTTGGAATTTGGATCCATACAAAGGAGCGAGAACAAGGTCGTCATAAAAACCTAAATTTACATCTAAATTTGGATGCATAGTCAAATAAATAAGTTTACTTAACCTAGTACCATTTAGAAATGTATACAACTATATAATTCATTATAAGTTTTAAATTAAGCTTTCACTAATTTTCCCGATGCAATACTCATTGACACCTTTTGGTTATTTGTCCTATGAAAAATATTACTGCATATATTTATTTTTTGCACATGAGTCCTCCTTAGACTTCATAAATATATAAGATGCATAAGTTGTTAACAAGTTGACCCCAACCTTTTTGTGATAGGTATAACTACACTCATCATAGAATGTGTTATTGCTATGATGGGTAGAGCCACAATCATCATAAAAAAAACTTGTTAATAATGTTGTCAACGCCCAAGTCACATTGTTCATCTCTCTGAGAACAAAGCACTATTTTCTTCATTCTCTGCAACGACCAAGGTGTGATGCATTTGCTCTTACGCCAACAACTTCTGACAATGCTCCAAGGTAATGTTTGACACCATCTTGCTCATTATTTGCCACCATCTCCTATGTAATAACCTTTATTATCTAACCTTCGTTGTTTGCACGCTTTTTAAAGTTTTATTTTTGGTTGGTTCTATCTAATTTTGGGGATGGTTTAAAAGTGATATGTGTATTAATTCTACTCTGTTGTGGGGGTTGGCTTGTGACTATTGTGGAGTAGTTGTGGGTTTTTTTTTGTGCTTATAATATAGTTGTTTTGGTAATTGGTGTGGTTGTTTTGGTGCTAAGTAATGAGCTATTTTGGGACTCATTTGAGAGACTATTTAGTAGATATAATGCACTTTTATATTGCTCTTTTAGAGTATGTTTGAGTAACTTAATAAAATTTTAAAATGTTATATATGTACATAATGTACATAATTAAATAAATCAATAACATAATTTGGATTTATTTAACATAGAAATATTTATTTCATGTGCCGATAAATTTATATTAAGTTATGTATATATTCATTAATTTAAATTATTTTAAGTACCCATAAATTTATATTATCTTAGTTATTCATATATTTAGATTAATTTTGGTACTCGTATAAACTTATATTATTTTAGGTAACCTTACACAATATTTATTTAATTTAATTATATGATTTAATTGGGTAACCATGAGTGAGACTATTGTGTGATCAAGCACATGCTCACAATTGTTATTGGCAACATTAGGGACTCATTGAAAGAGGTAATATATTTTCATATCAAAATAATTACTTTAAATGATTATTTAATTATTTAATGATTGACTAATATTTAACTTATCTCTATTTTGAATTTTTTGTAAGTATTCAAAATCCTACTCCATTTTCCCATGAAGACTTGGTAGATATCCACAAAAGATGGACATCTGCTTTTCTTGAGTCAATTTGAAAGTTGATTTATGTTTTTGTACATTTTTTAGTTTTATTTGTGTACATTGGTTAGATATTTATGTTTTAGTTTTATCTTCTTGGTAGATATTTGTGTACATTGTTATTAATTAATGATAATTATTGTTAACTTTAACTTTATTATTATCTTTCTTGCATTGTTATATAGTTTAATTTGTATATTATTTTAATTTAAATGATAGGTATTGTATCTTATATAGATTTCTATTGAACTAAACAACAATATATGTTGTATTAAGCTGTTTGGATTTGTATTATCTGTTGTACAAGCATGGAAATTTAAATAAAAAAGAATGGACAGGATATTAAACAAAAAAACACATTCTATGATAGGTATGATCAAATCCACCATAAAATATGTACTTTCTATATTACATGTAATCACATTCGTCATAAAATGTGGGTGTCAAAATGTCGGTGTCAATGTGATATAAATCATCACATTTGGTACCCATATTATGACAGACATTAACCACCAATATGGAAAGTGTAATATCTTATGTCGCATGGTAAACGCTCGTCATAAAATATATGAATATTTTATGTCGTCAGAATTTATGTCGTATCCCAAGTCGACATAAAATGTAAAAAATAATTAACATAAAATGTCTCTACAGATTAAGACCATAAAGTTTGCGAGTTTTATGATCTAAGCCAAAAAATTCGTTATAATCATAAGAATTTTGTGAAAAGCTAATGTTATATACACCCCCTTAATAGATACACCTCCTTTCTTATTATTTTTTTTTTTCAAAAGTTTACTTAAATATCCTTTTAGTTGATTTTTTCATTAAAAAAATATTTTCAAAAACTAATCTTCTTTCTTTACCTCTCTTCCTCCACTCATTTTTTTCGCTACTTTATTCTTTTCTAATCATTCTTTGTATACCTCCCTTTTTATTTTTTGGTTTTTTCTCTTTAGCAATCAAGACACTTGTAACACAACTTTATTATTTTTTAAACTCTATTTTTGGTACTCTTAATTTCAACATTTTTTAAATCATAATTTTTTACTCTATATTCAATATTGCACACATTGTTGGATAAGTAATTTTTTCTCTTCCAAAAATTAGTTTTCATAAGCATTTTTTTCTTGCTTTCAGAAAGTACCTTCCATAAGAACAAAGATGTATTTCTCTTCTGGTAAGTACTTTCTAAAAGCATTTTTTTTCTTCAAGAAAGTACTTTCTAGATGCAAAAAATATATTTCTTCTTTTTAGAGAGTACCTTTTAGAGGTATATTTTTTGTCTTTCAAAAAGTAATTTTTGCAAGTATATTTTTTCTCTTTTAGAAAATATTTTTCAAAAAATGGTATTTAGGGAATTAACAAAAGGGAGAAGAAAGGATGGAGGTATATTATCAACTAAAGGAGGTGCATTTAACATAAGTCTTTAAAAAGGTGAGTTTATATCTATGCATGGTCTGAGTTAAATAGACAAGTCTACAAACCTTAACTCATATACACACCCTTACTCAATAGTACCTTTTGACATCATTTACTTCTTGTCCACTACTACAAAAAGGGTAATCTAAGTCGTTCAATCTAAGTCGGTTTATTAAAAAATGATGTAAAATAAGACGCGGTGGCATTTTTGTAAATAAAAGGAATGTAATCTAAGACGGTTTAGACAATACCCGTTGTAGAATAGCCTACACAAATATATCTACGACGGTTTATAATAAAACCGACTTAGATGTTAAATGATCTACATCAGTTTTTATGTAAAACTGACTTAGATGGAGACCCAAAAATAAACCCGCGCGTTCTCTCTCAATTCATGCGTGCCCTTCAGTCTCCCAGCCACATTCTCTGGCCTCCACCTCCTCCGCCCTCCGCTCCTGCGCCCGCCACATACTCTCCTTCATCCCCTCTTTCCACATTCTCTCACGTAACTATAACTGCCCCTTCCGCTCACTAAACCCTAAATCCTCTATTCTCTATTTCCCTAACTCACTGACTAACTCTCCTCCGCTCACTTCCTCTGCAGGACGTTGCCCCTTCCACTCACTTCCTCCGCCCCAATCGCTCTCAAGCTCGATTGCGGTTGCCTCGACGATTCCGCCATCGTCTCTGTGCAGCCGTCGGAGAAACAACTGCAAAGAGAACCTTGTGTTTCGTCTTGCGGAGGTGTTCCCATGACTTTGTTCTGTTTTGTTCTTTGTTTGAGACTGTTCTGGCCTTTCTTCTTCTTTGTTCTCTGTTCTCTTTTGAATTATGAACAATTTTTTATTTTTAGTTTGGATTTTTAGCATATATACATGAACAATATTAAATAGGTTAACCAGGGAATGCAGTTTATGGGTACAATATTCAATATTTATGGAATAATGCTTTGCTACATTTAAACTGTTGGATTGGTGTTTTGCATTCTTGCTTTGCTGTAACCAGCATATTTATGGGTACTAGATAAAAATAATGTATTGAAGAAATGATTGTGTCATGTGTATTTATGTGTAAACTAACTACCTAAATAAAGCATATTTGTGGCATATCCCCTGCAATGACATGAGGTCTGGTACTGTTTAAGATCCCTTGAAATACCTGCCTTTGCATGATAGTTTTCCCATTTCCCTATTAGTTATGAATATGGATGCTATATGCTAATTTGGCTTGTATTTTTATGGTTCTCAACTTTCTGGAAGAAAGAGCATATCAAGTTAAATGAACGATTATTGGGTGGTGAGCTAATAATGTAATAACAGCTATTCATTCAAAATGAGTGGTTGATCAAGGAGTCTAACATAGTTGAGCAGAATGTGAGTTATAATAAATTCTTTGGTATCTAATTCAATTTCTGTGGATAGAAATAAGGCTCGTTGATCATATTATGCAAACTTTCTTTAAGCTTACTTATCATTTAGAGTGTTTCATTTGCCTTTTGTTCTGCTTCTACTGCTCTTCTATGTATTGGATGTTTATTTTGGGATTCATGAATACTAACTTTATGGATTGAACTATGGTGGCACCACTTTTTTCCTCTTTCTGCTTTGCTTTCACTTACTTTAGCTTTGTACTTGCTGGGATGATGATTTTCTGAATTTTATGTACTTCTTAGGTACATATTGGAGCAAAGTCTTTCTGTAGATAATCTCTTTGGTTTTGTTCTAATATTCAATTACTTCAAAGTTCCAGTTACATATCAGGTTATGTATAAAACTTATTTTCATGGGTAAACTGTGCACGATTTTAACTTCATGTTTTAACAAGTTCTTAATTCTGAATTTGTTGATATTATCTTAACAATAAAAAGTAGTTAATTGATAAGTTTTCATGTACTTTTTTTAACTTACAGAATCGTGTGCTCTCATATGGTATTGCTGGTGCAGTTGTCTTTCGGCTGGCATTAATACTTATCGGAACAGCCACCCTTCAGGTGTGTTTCATGATGGATATATTTCTTTTCATATTTTACCTTTTTAAGTGAGTTTTATACTATTTGCTGATCATCTTGTTAATTATGATAATGTTTAGAGGTTTGAGGCAGTCAACCTTTTCTTGGCCGCAGTATTACTCTATTCATCATTTAAGGTGAGGCTTGACAATTTCCAATATTTAAATTTGGCATTTGAATTTATTAACCAAGCTATGTGTGTAACGACCCACCCTAGGTCGTCACATTAATAACCAGCCAAAATAAAATAATATAAAATAAAGAAAATAGAGCAAAAGCCAGCTACGATAGAGTGAAAAAAAAACTATTTCATAATATCAAACATAATTATATCAGAGTCATTCTTGGTAAAATTATACAGTAATCCAATAGTAACATCATGAAATATAAGTTAGACACCCTAGGTGCTGGTCAAGCTCTACGTCTAGCCACTTCTCAAAGCAGCTACCCCAAAAGACTCCTTGCTATCCCAAGGCCTCACACCTGATCTGCTCCCCCACATAGTGAGATCATCACAGTCCAAACCACATGGAAACACAAGGGTTAGCACATATAAAACCAACCATAGTATATCATAATAAAATATCATTAAACAAATATTTATCCACAGTATTTATCCAGACCAACAAGTCATTTTCCCTCTTCTATCAAAATTCATTATTATTTAGATCAAAGAAAAATGAATAATAGTATGAAAGGAGTGAAGGTTATTGAGAGGAGAGGAGATTAGAAAAACTAATTAAAAAGAGAAAAGAAAAAGAAAACAGTGAGGCAAAATGTCTGAAGAAAGCACCCTTGAAGATTCACCATTGTTTTTTTTGAATATTTGTAATTTAAATTCATGTAAAACAGGCACGACTCACGAGTAATATCCCTTGAAGATTCAATAATTCAAACTCTATTCTCCAAAATGGGAGGATTCATTGAAAAAAATTAATTCCTATCCAATTGCATGCAAGTTTACAATGTTTCTCTGTTTTTCCTCATTTTTTCATGGATACCATCAGTGTCTTGAGTGAATGATAAATTATGTGCCATTATTTTATTTCTTTTGTAAGTAGTTAATGATCTTTCTTCTTTTTTCTTAATTAATTATTTTTTATTTTTCTATTTTCCATACAACATTTTTCCTGTCCTTGATGTTCATACCTGCATGTTTCCTAATTCATTTGTAGCATAGTTTTGAAAGATCTCCTGAAGCTTGTCTTATTAAAAAGTAAGAAGTTTGGGGACTCGTGGCTTATCATGCGTAATCAACTGCTACAGGTTTATAGTGAAGCCATTTCGTCAAATTGCAGTGATATTGTTCAAATGCTGCAGGTATTCAGTCTCTCTTCTTTTTACCAAGTGTTTCATTTGTATAATTTTTTCTTGATGATTTTTATCTTAACAAAGCTTTCAAATAGAGTAGCCTACTTCGATTGCTGCATTGTATAGGATTTTTTTTCGTATCGTATTGTATTCTTCTTTGGCTCAACAGTTTTATTTCCTTACCTTGTTCATATGTAAAGTAATTATCATTCAAGGAGTACCAAAGTGACACAATCACACAAAACGTATGCATGAGTTCAGGAGGGATGCAAGAAAAAAAAAGCACAAAATATTAAGAATATTAAAGAACTTATAATTCTGAAACCTCATGTTAAAGAAAGCAACATTTCACATAGAATATAATCGTTCATTATTAAAAATATAATCTACAACGGTTCTATAACAAAACCGTCTTAGATGTATGTGTTGTTCTAAGTCAATTTTTGACAAAAACTGACTTAGATTTACACATACATCTAAGTCGGTTTTTGTCAAAAACTGACTTAGATCAACACATACATCTACGACTGTTTTATAAAAATTGACTTAGATCAACACATACATCTAAGTCGGTTTTTACATAACCGACGTAAATATGTTTATTCATCTACGTCGCCTTCATCTAAGTCGGTTTTAGAACCGATGTAGATATGACAAAATAACCGACTTAGAATACAATCTTTCTAGTAGTGGTCCTATTCTCTTATTATCATAACTCTTTTGGATGATGCTCTGAGAGATTTTTGTAATTCGTTATTAGCTTTGCCTATTTTATTTCATATACTAATTTAATAATGGAAACAAATATATGAATTAATAAATAGACACTACTAGAATTTCTCTTAATACATGCGGCTTTTCCATAAAAATTCGCAGGAAACGTTGTTCCTACAAATTTTTCTGCAAAATTTTATCTGCAAGTAATAACTTCGTGGATAATATATTTTTGCGATTTATAAAATTTGCAAGAAATTTTCCTGCAAAATTTTTTTTGCAAAAAAATTTGCAGGAAAGTTTTCTGCAAAAAAAAAATTCGCAGGAAAGTTTCTCGGTTTCCTATTGACTCATCGTGGCATTGAAGCGAATCCTGACAAATGCTCTGCGATAATTAATATGAGAAGTCCAGCGATAGTAAAAGAGGTCCAACAGTTGGCAGGGAGGATGGCTTCATCCGAAGCATTTGTTTCCATGCCTCCAACATGTGATACATAATCTTTTAAATTCTAAGATTGTAGATTATAAGCCTAACACTCATCATACAAATCAACCTATAAGGTAAGTGTTACCCCAACTTATATACTCTTTAATTGTTTTATTTTCAATCGATATGGGACTTGAAGTTTTTTTAAAATATTAAACTTATAAATTTAAATATTTTTTTTTTATTTTTCCTGCGGATTAAAATTTGCAGGAAAATTCGCAGGAAAAGTTACTTGCAAAATTTTTCTACCATTTAGTAAACATTACTTGCGAATTTATTTTTGCAAGAAAATTTACAAGAAAAAAAATAAAATTTTATAATATTTTCTGCAAATTTTTACCATGGAATTTTTTTCTATGATCATTAAAATTGTAGCAAAATTTATAAGAAATATCTGCAAATTATTTTTCTCAAATAAATTCGCAAAAAATTTCTGCACATATTTTTTTTAGAAAAATTCGCAAAAAAATTCTGCGATTATTTTTTTGCAGGAAAATTCGCAAAAAATTTATGCGAATATTTTTTTGCAAGAAAATGACAATTTTCTAGTAGTGAAAGGGACCATATTAGTAATATAGTCCAAAGCATATTATTAATATGAAATTACTTTTTAGATAGTCTTATATTATTTGTGTTATGAGTCTCAAGTCTGCTAATATTATTTGGGTTATTGCATCAAATATTGTTTATTTTAATATTTGTTATATCATTATGGTTTTGCCTTTGGAAAAACACCTTAGAGTGTTTATAAATTAACCTTGACCTTGACTTTTATACAATGGCAATAATCGAATAAAAAAAAAGTTGGAGGAACCAAAATAATTTTTAAATGAAAAAACATTTATAAATAAATAACTCATTATTTCATGATTTTATATAAAATATCCGTCTCACAATATATTTCTATTTATACTTAAAATTTTCAAAAAAAAAAAAAAGGTTTGTGGGATCATTGCTCCCACCATCTCTTAAAAGATTTGCCTTTATTCTTAGGCTTTTTATCATTGTGGTCAATTTTACAATTATTTATCGAAATGAGATTGTTTTGAAATGAATTACATATTTGAAGTTTTTAAGCGGTACTATCACTATAGATCATTGCAACACTAGCGCCACATCATTTTTTTTTAAAAGAAAATTGAAAATCATGTAGTGCCATTATTAGGTCTACTCGAAAATTCTAAGAATCGAATAGGTGTTACTGGGATCGTCCTCGAAGGCCCGGGAGGAATTCTGTTGGAACAATCATTGCACTTTGAATTCCGAGCAAGCAACAACCAGGCCGAATACGAAGCATTGTTAGCCGGCATGGCATTGGCAAAGGAGATGGGGGCGACAAATTTATCAGCTCGAAGTGACTCTCAGCTGATCACGGGGCAGGTAGCTGGAACTTTCCAGGCAAAGGACCCTCAACTGGCTAAGTACCTGGACAAGGTTAAGCTCTTATCGGAAAATTTCTGAGAGTTTGCACTTAACCATGTACCGAGAGAGCAGAATTCGAGAGCAGATCTCCTCTCTAAGTTAGCAAGCACGAAGAAGCCAAGGGCCACTCCGTCGGTCATCCAGGAAACCTTAGCTCAGCCAAGTATTAATGTACCGCAGGAGAGTGTTCTTTTCATCCAAGAAGAGCTCGAGTCGTGGATGGGACCCTATATTGCATACCTGACTCGGGGGGAGTTGCCAGAGGACAAAAAGGAAGCGTCGCTGATACAAAGAGAGTCAGCCAGATTTGTGGTCATCAATGAAAGGTTGTATCGAAGAGGATTCAACTCTCCTCTTTTAAGGTGTTTGACCATGTCACAAGCGTAGAGAGTGATGAATGAAGTGCATGGAGGAATGGGTGGAAGTCACATTGGAGGCCGAGCTTTGGTGTATAAAGTTGCTCGGGCAGGGTACTTTTGGCCATCCTTGAGAAACGACTGTGTCAATTGGGTCCAAAAGTGTGATGGGTGCCAAAGACACGCAACCTTGCACCATTCCCCAGCTGAATGACTACATTCAATCCTATCTCCCTGGCCTTTCCACAAGTGGGGTATTGATATTCTCGGTCCATTTCCGATCGTGGTAAGACAGTTGAAATTCTTGATAGTAGTTGTAGACTACTTTAGTAAGTGGATCGAGGCAGAGCCGGTTGCAACCATTTCAGCAGAGAAGGTTAGGGCGTTTCTATGGAAGAATGTGGTGTGCAGGTATGGTGTTCCCCAAGTGCTCATTTCTGATAACGGGACACAGTTTACAAGTGCGAGAGTCCGTGATTTTTGTCAAGAGATCGGCATCCGAATGACATTCACTTCCGTCGAACACCCCCAGTCTAACGGCCAGGTGGAGTCGGCTAACAAGGTTATACTTTCAGGACTGAAAAAGCGCGTCTAAGACTCAGGCGCTTCATAGGTGGAGGAGCTTTCCTGGGTGCTATGGTCATATCACATAACTGTTCATTCATCGACTCAAGACACTCCTTTCAATCTAGTGTACGGAACAGACGCCATGATCCCGATTGAAATCGCAGAACCCTCAGTACGTACCACAGCTTTTTCTGAGGAGGAATCCGACTAGGGAAGACGAGTTGACTTGGACTTGATCACGGAGACAAGAGAGAAAGCAAGGATAAATCAAGTAGTAGCCTAGAGAAGAGCAGCTTTCAAGTACAACACGAAGGTCATCCCAAGAGACTTTGTTGTAGGAGATCTCGTTTTGAAACGTGCTCAGCTAACTCAGATGAGGAGCAAGCTGTCATCTAAATGGGTCGATCCTTATAAAATTGATGACGTGGTCGGCAAAGGAGCTTACCGACTGAGGACCTTGGATGGAGGGATAATACTGAGAACTTAGAA